GGTTGGACACTGACAAAACCTGTGGCCCAAACCAGCATAATTCCTTCTACTCCCAACATGCCTCAGTTTTTTGCTAGTGTCCAGGAGGATGGACACATTTTTTCTGCTTTACTGAGAAAAGTCTGCCCATTTGCCATATTCTTTACATTCAAATTAATTTTTTTAAACAAGCTTACCTCACGTGCTGCTTGAGCTAGTCTCTACTAGGCACTGAATAAATAACATTGAAAACTCTGCACCACAGGCAAAACCAAAAGAAAACAAAAATAAGGTAACAGATGAATATGATTATGGCTGCTGCAGTCTTCAAAATGTGTCTAACTTCCATATTGGTGAACCCTATAATTGTGTATATAAACCACACTGACAAAAATGTCAATCAAGGTTACTAAACAGTTTGCCACAAGTAAAAGTGCAAAAAAATAAACACCACCAGAAAATACTACTAATGTCCTATGTATCACTAGGTCCCATTCAAATAATAGTTGCTTAAAACCAAAAGATATGTGAACTAGTGCTGATGCCATTAGTAACAGATAAACAGGTGACCATTTTCAGGTGCTCCAGATGACTCCCACATGGATTAGCACTCACCAAAATGGATGGACCTTCTATTACTAAGTAGGTCTCACTGTGCTTTTTTGGTTGGACCCACTGTGTATCTTGCCGCCAACTTGACCATTCACATGTGCCAGGATGGGATTCCTTCCAATGCAATACACCGCCACTCAAAAACAGTATCAGGGAAAAGGTTTATTGTACTTTTACATGTGGCAAACTGTTTAGTAACCTTGATTGACATTTGTGTCAGCACAGTCTACAGTGCCTTGAAAAAGTATTCATACCCCTTGAAATTTTCCACATTTTGTCATGTTACAACCAAAAACATAAATGTATTTTATTGGGATTTTATGTGATAGACCAACATTACATTACATTGTTTTCTTATTGCAGTACAGTATGTCAGACACACATGGTGACCCCAAACACATGCAGAAATGTTCAGCTCTCCCAGGTACCTCTAATGGTTCTTGCACCCGGGTGTCTCTAACGGTTTTGGCAGTACCTACAGTGCACCCCCTGAAGGGCCTGACATGTACCTCCTGGATTATTGTCTTCTGATGAATCCCTGCCATTTTCGGAGTCTATCTTAGCTCCTACATGACCTCCTAATCAGCCTTATCTGAAGAGGACTTTACTACAGTAATACAGAATTGTATGGGTTAAACGGCACACTTGATTGCTGATTTGGTTCACAGCGATTATAAATGTGCCTCTATGCCTTTACCTGCAGAATCCTTGTTTAATCGTGCAGCCCTTACGAACTCCCTCTTGGAGCTTTGGGTCATAAGCCTAGTTCCTGCAGCAGAACACTTTAAGGTATTTTTTAAAATCTGTTTACATTCTCCAACCCAAAAGTAGGCATACACCCCTTCTTGGACCTCAAGGTCATAAACCTTTTCATTCAGTTCTGCATATAATCCATCATATATGTCTGATTTTGTGGATATGAAGGATGCAAATATCTATTAACCATTTTTCGAGCACAACAATGATTCTTTCGTTTTTGCTGTGGGTTCCTGTTTTTGGCACTGCCATTCTGCCTATATTCTGCACATAGCATGCTTGTCCCTGTACTGGCCCTTCTGTGATCTCAAGGCATTCCTATTGTGGAATTAATGGATGACCTCCTACTGAATGAACAGTCTGCGCAAGTCTTAACTGCCAAATATAGCTCAAACTATTCAGACCTTGCAGAGGTTGAACTGGGTCCTGAACTTTCAGAAAGCAGCACTGGAACTATTATTTGGAATATCTGAGCCTCAACCTGGATCGACCAAAGCTATAGTTTTTCCAAAGCCTCTGGACTCCTCAGTCCAAGAATCAATCTACTCTTAACTTTTGCAGAGTTCTGATATACTCTTCTCTTTCAAGGCAGTCCCATATGTCCATGTTCCACTCCAGATCCATGCAGTGCAGCACTCTGTCACTGCGGAACAAGTCAGTCAAGACTCTTGAGAGACCCATTTTATCTATCACCAAGGACATGGCTGTTCCTGGCCTGGTGGGAGAGGGCATGGTTTTGTGTACAGGGCTGCCTCGATCCTGTTATTTAGGTTTCCTAGCGGATGATCCAGTTTCCTCCCCCTGCCGGGTTCTCCCAATAGCAAACTATGGGCACCCGAGCAGCCTCACTCCTAAGCCACGCTCCTGTGAATGGACATTGTCTATTCACATTCAGAGCAGCTCAGCGCTGCTCTTCACTCTTTTTGGCTCACTGGCTGTGATAGCAGCAGGAGCCAATGGCTCCTGGTACTTTGTGAGCCAATAAAGCAGATCCCAGGAGAGACTCCGCTCTCATGCACATCGGTGCATTGAGATGGGTCTCAGGTAAATACAAGAAAGGGTCGGGGGGGGGGGGGGGAGCTGCACCCAGAAGGGTTTTTACTTTAATGCATTGAATGCATTAAGGTAAAACAAAAATGTTGCTTTTAGAACCACTTTAAGGATTGGGTTGCTCCCTTTCCTGTTAAGGGTCACTCTACTAGATCGGCTTCTTGGGCATATGACATCAGGCTACTGTTTCCCAAATGTGCTAGGCTGCCACCTGATATTCTGTTTACATATTCTCTAAGTTTTACTGGGTGGATGTTGCAGGCCCCCTCTGAATCCAGCTTCAGGTGTAAGGTCCTTCAGGTGGCTATTTGAGCTGCAATCTGTGCCTAGTATGTATTTTATATGGGCCTGTTAGTGTTTTGTTGCTGTTATGATCCTGTCTGTTGCACTCCTTTCTAAGCATCGGTCAATCAATTCCGGTGTCACTCAATGTACAAGTACCAGAAAGAAAATTGGATTTTTGTGCTTACTGTAAAATCTGTTTCTTGGATTTCTGTAAAGTTTTTTTTTTTTTTATTATTATTATTATTGCGGTCTTTATCCCCATTGAGCAGATTCACCCCTCTATTTGTACTGCTAATCAAAAAAAGAAAGTGATAGGTAATCTTACACGTTAGAGTTGCCTTCAGAATAAGAGTTTAGGGGACATTTTTCACAGCTTCCTGTTGTATTTCTGGGACAGGAGATGAGGTTGAATTTCCCCAAAGGTACACAGGCAGCAAAAAAAAAAAAAAAAAAAACCTTTAACTCTTTCCTTCTCTATCCAAAACCCCCAAAAAATGGCTCTACATATATGTAGTTAAATTGTGTAATACACAATTTAATTACAACACTATCTATTTCTATAAACATAAAGTGTTTGTAAACCCTAACAATTGCTTTGTTGGTCTGTTGAATATCAGCATCCAACAGGACTTAGGGGCTGAGTTCATTTCTGGCAGAACTGGTATTTTCTGTGCTTAGAGCCCTCATTAGTTGCACAAAATTTTGGCTCCTAAATTAGACTTGGCTTTCTTCTTTATTATTACAGTGTGTTAACATCCGTGTTAATGCAGTTTGTGTTTAGGTAGCCCACTTATTTGCACATACTGTTTAATGTACCAGAATGCACACAAGTTATGTGAACCTTTTTTTTAGTAATGCAGTGCACCACAGTGCATGGTAGTGCATTAAAATGCAAAGGAATGCTGTTCAGAATGAATGGCACCAGTGCAGTGCGAGTAACATGCAACACCTTTTCTTACTCCTATTTTTTATATTTCAATAGTTTTTTTATTAAACAATTTTACAAATAATAATACAATACTCAATGTCCCATTAGAACAGAAATTAAAACATTACTCAATAACAAAGTTTGTGTCATAAAACACGTGACCAGAGATATAGAACTCTGCAGAGGAGTTATCGGGAAGTCCAAACCAAAGGTACATATTCTTTAAATGACTCGTGAGAGACTGGAACAGTGGTAGGGAAGGGAAAAGGGTGGGGACTGGGGAAAAAAAAAAAAGGAAATGAAGTGGGAGGAGAAAGGAAAAGTACCAGTGTCCATAAACCTAGAAGCACCTAAAGAATGGCTGTCATGCTAAGCAGGGAATGCGTTATAAAGGCTACTAAAAATAGGTACGATCTATTCTAATTGAGTAATAGAAAATAGAAAAGAAGAGAAAAATAAAAACCTGAAAAAGAAAAGGGTCATGGTGGGGGAAACTAAGGCATAGAAATATAGTGGATCCACGGATCTCGTGTTTTATAAAATTTTTGGGTGTTATTGTGTAGTATACAAGTGAGTTTGTCATTGATCATAATTCAGTTTAATTTATTCTTAACAAAGTCAAGTGGGATAATTCATTGCTTCCAATGTCTAGCTATAGTAATTCCTGCTGCCAACGACATGTAGGTAATCAATTAATGGGACTACTTAGGAACATTATCCGGAAATTTATGAAAGAGGGCCGTCTCCGGGGATCTGCAAATATTTACCCCTGTCACAGAATTTATGAAGTTAAACATGTGAATCCAAAATTTGGTTGCCGGTGGACATTGCCACCAGATATGGCCACCTGGCCGCAATGACGAAAACAGATCGCTGAAGTAGATGGATGCATCCTCGCAATCAGAGTAGGGACCAAATACCACCTTAACAACACTTTATAATTCGCCTCAATTAAAGTAGTATGGATGGAAACTTTAGAAAGTGCCAGGGTAATATCTTGCCAATCTGAAAGTTCATAATGGACATTCAGGTCCCGTTCCCAATACTCCATATAAGGAAGTTTACTATTTGGATCAGTGAAAAGGGTATACACTGTGGAGACACGGCCTCTAGGGAAGTCTCTATTCTGACATGAGTTCAAAGTCGGTAAGTAAGAGTGGTTCGTCCAGTAACCTAAGTTTCGAGTGGATAAATGAAGCAATTTGATGATACCTAAAAATTTCAGCAGCGGACATTGCAACATATCTTTTAACCTCCCTGGCGGTATTCCCGAGTGTAGCTCGAGGTTAACTTTCAGTACCAGAAGCAGTAACCCTGAGCTACACTCGGGATTGCACTGCAGCGTTGCTCTGGGATCCCTCGAGCACTTATCTTGTCCTGCGGTCCCGCAATGTCCCCCCTGCAGCATCCCCGGCCATGTCCTCCAGCCGATGCCGGCATCCATCTTCCGAGTTCCGTTCGCTGCAAGCGCCGGGACATATGGGGGACAGAACCGGCGGGAAATAAAATTAAAAAAATGTAAAAATTTGACATTCACTCAATACACTAAAATCTGATAGTATTACATTCCTGTATCAAACCATTTCACATACATTTTGTCCCTAGTGCTTTGTCCTGTGCCCTGCCTGCATTTTTACCGTTCTTTCTGCCTGGAAACTGAGAAACGTCCATGGCATTCAAAAAGCGTCCCTTTAGGTCAAAAGCGGTTTTAGACCAACTAGAGAACAGCGATAGTAAATTACAACCACTTGCAGAATTGAGTGATAATGATTCGTGGGGAAATTCCTCATCAGACACTGAAAACGATTTTGCAACTAAGCTCAGTGATGTGCGAACTTGGCGCTCTATTTCAAATTTCAATGTAATTGGTTTGATTACATTATTGAATTAAATGTATTATTATTATATTATTATTTTCATGATTATTTATTGTATTATAATTTATGATTTCGTGTTTCAAACTTTATCATACCCGGGATGTTTACTAGACTCTTGTTCGGACAGATTTCAGTAGGTTATTCCTAAGAATTACAGGCCTACAATAAAAAAACATATTTCCATTGAAAACAATGTACCACTATGAGCACAGAAATACTGACATAATCAGACCGCTAGGGAGGTTAAATACTGTAAAGAGTGCATTTGATCAACCTTAATATAATCCCCTATCCGCAACAATCCTTTATTGATCCACTATTGAAAAGGGGCAATCACTAGATCAGGTACAAATTCAGGATTGCAAAAGATTGGAACTAAAGGTGTACGTGGAGACGCCAATGATTTGCGATGTTGTACTCTGTCCCAGACCATCAATGAATGCAACCAAGTAGGGTATAATATAGGAGGACGTAGTCGATTAGGAAGCCAAAGTAATGAGCCTATTGCTATGGGATGGCAAGAGCGAGCCTCAAGTGACACCCAGAGAGGGTCCCTTAGCCTTGGTATAGGACAACTGGTTATTTGAGTGGCTTGGAAATATGCCTGAAGATTAGGAAGGCCAATCCCACCTCTGTTTAGAAGCATAGTGTCTTTTGATTGAACTAGTTTATTCCAAACAAAGTGGAGAAACCCAGTTTGTATGTGCTGCAGCTCCCCATCTCAGAATTGGTATTGGTAAGGTTCTAAAATACTATAATAATCAGGGTAAAGATGGCATTTTAAACAAATTGATTCTGCCAAATCATGATGAGGATTAATCAGACCAATGGCAAATATCATCTTTAAGTTGTTTAAAAAGAGGAGGATAGTTAGCTTGATAGAGAGACTCGACTGAAGCGGTCAGATGGACTCCCAGGTAAGGTAAACATTTGCTAGCCCAATGAAAATCATTAGTAGACCTGGGCTGCCGTTCAATGGGAACGGGTAAGGTAATGTTAAGGGCCGTCGTTTTTTGGGAGTTTAAAGACAGCCCAGAAAGAATAGAAAATTGGCACTACAGAGACAGTAATTTAGGTACCGAAATCTGCGGTAAAGTAATATACACCAGGACATCATCAGCAAATAGGGCACATTTATGTTCTTGTTGTCCGCAACTGATATCCTGTATTCGCGGATGGGAACTAATTGCCATAGCTAAGGGTTCTGTCGCCAAAGCGAAAAGCAATGGGGAAAGTGGACAACCCTGTCTAGTGCCATGTCGAATTGGAAGCACGGGGGATCTATAGCCTATAATAGAAACTTGTGCCGAGGGTGTATCATATAACGAATGCAATAAAGCAAGGAACGTAGGGCTGAATTTTAAATGTTCCCCTACGTCTAGGCAATAGGACTCCTTACGAAGTAAAGACTCATTTAGACGCCAATGTGGTTTAGCCAGTTTGGCTGTTAAATTAGAAAGCGTCAGCATTACCGGGTCATGGTCGGACCAAGGCGTCGAAACTATTTTTGCTGAGTGGAGTTTAGAGAGCATTTCCGAGGGTAGAAAAATATGATCAATACGAGAAAGCCTATGGGCTCTCAAAAAATGAGAATAGTCCCTGGATGTGGGATTGGCCTCTCTCCACCCGTCAATTAAATTGTAACAATACAAAAGTTGTGCAAAGTCACGACTCTGGGAGGGGATTTAAGTTTGCCTGTATGAGATTTGTCAAGTATATGATCTAATGCCAGATTTGAATCCCCTGTCAAAATAACATCGCCCTCCAGTTCAGCAGACAAAGACTTAAATAGGGATTGGATAAAGGCCACTTGATTCGTGTTAAGAGTATAGTAAATAAGAAAAGTGACCAAATTACCACCTAAGTGGCCCTTCACTAAGAAGAAACACCCTTCCTTATCCCTTATCACTTTAGTTTCAGCAAATGACAACCATCTAGAAAAACAAAGTGATACTAATCGCTTCTTTTCAGGGGCATTAGCAAAAAAACAGACTGGAAAATTAGACAAATTCACCCAGCACCACAGGATATCAACAGTCCAAGATTGTCTTGGGAATCTCCAGCTGGCCCTCAAAAGAAAATAGAAAAAATTAAAAGAATAAAAGAGACAGAAAAAAAGAATATATGCCGGAGCCAAGGGATGGCCGGCATCTGCAATTAGCAAATCAGTATATAACGTAAGATAGTAAAATAACAAATATCCTAGATGCAAAGTCAAGGAATGGAAAAGTCTCCACCAAGGCTAAGCAAGGGAGAATGTCTTACGGTTAGGGAGAGCGCATAGACTGTTCCAGGCACCTCGGGGTCCATAAGAAATATGGAAGAGGCTCCACGGCATCAGTATACAAAATATAAACAATTTAAGCCATTAAGGAAGAAGAAAATGACACTGCTAAAGTAAAACATTTAAAAAAAAAAAAAAACCCTTTTCAAAACATGTGCGAAGGCAAACGTCCCACCCCGTATTGGGACCACAGAGAGACCTCCGCTAACCGAAACATCAACTAACAGAAAATAGAGTCCTCAAGACACCCGATGTGAAGTTGCAGATTTCTTCCTGGAAACAGAGGACCAAAGGGGTGAGAGTGGCGGCAGTGGATAGTTTGCTTTGGACTGGTATCATGAGGAGGGAGTGAGGGAGATGAGGCCCAAGTTCAGCAGAATTTTTTCAACTTCAAGGAATATTGAAAAGGAATAGGATTTGCTGTTATAGAGAAATTGTAGCAAATGTCCTTTTGGATTAGGGGCAAGGGCAATAGTTTGAAGGCCCTCCATTTTTGAAAAATGTCTGCAAAGACGTGGATCTTGTAACCATCAATAAAGCCCCCTGACACCAAAATATATACTTTCTCCCCCGAAAGTCCAAAATGCACAGTCCAACTTTTAATCAGCGTCTCCGTATTCTAAACACCCAGTAGTGCCGATATCCTAATGAATATTCTTCCTCCACAAGGGATACAAATCCTCTTCCTCCACTTAATGCCCTCAAAGAAATATAAATCGCATATAGTGCATTATCTACAACGCATGCTATCCAACACACAAAAAACACACTTATAAAAACTAGTGCTAATACGTGAAAAAAATCACTACACCGTGTGTGCACCTCTAGCCATCCATCATCCTTACTCTTACCCTCTCACAAATTTGAAAAAGCTTCCACAAATCCACCTTCCTTTGTGGTTGGGCTCCTAGATCCGTCCATTTTCATATATGAAATATACCTCCGAAGGAATTGCATATAGTGTCATATCTTCAAAACAAAACTTTCACTCTATTCGTGCTGCCTTCACAACATAGACTCCCAGTGCTAGTGAACACACTGACCGCCACCTCCTATCTTATGCACCTTAACAGACAATAAAGTCCACTCGCATAGGAAAGAGGGCTCCTCTCACTCTACAGATCATCCAGTTCTCAATGGCATCATAATATGTAGCAAAGTACAACCACAATAGTGTAGCAGGCAATGACAGGGATATGACTTCTTCAATAACAAAATTGCGCTTACAATAAAGACAAACCTTTTCCAAAATGACCGCTCCGTAACTTCCGGTTTACATGTCCTGACACGTTTCGTCACGTCCGACTTCATCTGAGGCTGCGCACGTCGGAATCACGGCCAAATATATACCCTTGTGTTCCCTCTGCATAAGCAGATCGTGCCATTTTGGACAAGGAAAGAGTGTATCCGGGCATGCTCACTGGTAAACGAACTTAATAGCCCACTCCACATCATATACAGTTGTGTTCAAAATAATAGCAGTCAGACATCACTAACTGGATCAATCACTGTTTTTGGTAGAAATTATATTTCTACATGGCAAATAATTTACTAGCGGGTGTAGTAGAGTAATAAAAATCCAACAGACCCAACAGTCATGACATGCATGCTGCCGATTCTGTGTAATTGAATCACTAATTGAAAGGGGCGTGTTCAAAATAATAGCAGTGTGGAGTTCTATTAGTGAGGTCATTCATTCTTTGAAAAACAGGTGGCAATTATTGCCCTTATTTAAGGAAGGAAGGCAGCAAATGTTGTACATGCTGGTTACAGTGCATTCTCTCTGAAATTCTGAGGAAAATGGGTCGTTCTAGACATTGTTCAGAAGAACAGCGTACCTTGATTAAAAAGTTGATTGGAGAGGGGAAAACAGAAAATGATAGGCTGCTCAGCTAAAATGATCGCAAATGCTTTAAAATGACAACCAAAACCTGAAAGACGTGGAACAAAGCGAAAAACTACCATTTGAATGGATAGAAGAATAGCCAAAATAGCAAGGACTCAGCCAACAATCAGCTCCAGGAAGATCAAAGAAGGTCTAAAGTTACCTGTGAGTACTGTTATAATTAGAAGACGCCTATGTGAAGCCAAGCTATCTGCAAGAAGCCCCCGCAAAGTCCCACTGTTGAAAAAAAGACGTGCTGAAGAGGTTACAATTTGCCAAAGAGCACATTGAGTGGCCTAAAGAGAAATGGCACAACATTTTGTAGACTGATGAAAGTAAGATTGTTCTTTTTGGGTTTAGTGGCCGGAGACAGTTTGTCAGACAACCCCCAAACACTGAATTCAAGCCACAGTACACACTGAAGACAGTGAAGCATGCTTGCGCAAGCATCATGATATGGGGATGTTTCTCATACCACGGTGTTGGGCCTATTTATCGCATACCAGGGATCATGGATCAGTTTGAATACATCAGAATACTTGAAGAGGTCATGCTGAAGAGGAAATGCCCTTGAAATGGGTGTTCCACCAAGACAACGACCCCAAACACACCAGTAAACGTGCAACATCTTGGTTCCAGACCATCAAGATTGATGTTATGGAGTGGCCAGCCCAATCCCCGGATCTTAATCCAATAGAAAACTTGTGGGGTGAC